TTTTCAATTATATAGCAAAAAAATTAAAATCCCAGTGGTGAATAAATACCACCAAAATAAAGTTTTATCTGTCTCATAAGAATGCTAAAAAATTCATATGGGTACAATGGTGCATGACTGCGCAATTGTCATTCAAAGTGTGATAGCGCTGAAAATTGGCCTGGACAGGAAAGGGGTGTCTGGACTTGAAGTGGTTAAGATATGTTGGGAACTTACATTGAGCAGGTGTTAGAAGTGCTAATATTAATGATTTTCACAGTAATAGCAAATACACATAAAGAACAGAAGCGTTATCTCTATCATCCAGTCCTACATCTATTGTCCTTGTCCGTGATCATATTGTAAGTATTAAATAGCCAATCAATACATTCATTAAGTACATGGTATTGGAAATTATTTTTTAACTCCAGTAATTTAGGCAGTTCAATTTTCCAAGCTTGGATTGTAGTTATTTGTGACCTTGAGGTTGTCTGTGATATGCTGATGCTGGTGTTGATGATTATGGGGCTGGGGTTATTGAGCCTTTTATGAGTATTGATTGAACTGGATATAAAAATGGTTATTTTCTTCCAGCACCCGAGGCGCTCAGACTGTCAGAAATTGGAAAGTGTCAAAAGACAGTCTGGATCCACTTATAAGATCAAGAAGGAACTGGCAAATATTTGTTGTTTAAGCATACTGAGCACAGAATGTTTTATTCATTAGCTGTATGGCTTTATCCTTTGTAGCGTTTGGAGCTTTCTAGTGGGCATTTTGTTTCAGCTTTATAATAGGTGTAGTGTGCACTTTTTATATTTTGGCAGGTCTGAAAAATGTTGAAGGATACATATACAAAGACGGTCTTGTCCCTTTCATAAATGCTGATATTAAAGCTGAACTCTGCACAAGCCCTTTTTACATATATACACTATATTGCCAAAAGTATTGGGACACCCCTCCAAATCATTGGATTCAGGTGTTCCAATCACCTCCATGGCCACAGGTGTAGAAAATCAAGCACCTAGGCATGCAGACATGCTTCTACAAACATTTGTGAAAGAATGGACCACTGAGGAGCTCAGTGAATTCAAGCGTGGTACAATAAGTCCATCTGTGAAATTTCTTTGCTACTAAATATTCCACAGTCAACTGTTAGTGGTATTATAACAAAGTGGAAGCAACTCCCAGCAACTGGGAACAACAGCAACTCAGTGGTAGGCCACGTAAAATGACAGAGTGGGGTCAGCACATGCAGAAGCGCACAGTGTGCAGAAGTCGGAAACTGTCTGCAGAGTCAATAGCTAAAGACATCCTGTCAGGGCTCCAGGTATGACCAGAGGTGTGTGGACTGACACAGGGAAACGCAGGCTTCAGATATGGTATAAACAATATAATTTATTAAGACGAACAATACAAAACGCAGTGCAAAACTAAACATAAACACAGTGCAAACAAACCAAACCAAACCACCCACTGATAACAATACATACAATACAGAGTAGTCAAGCAGGCCGAGTCAGTAGCAAACGGGCAACGGAGTACCAGGAACAGGCGGGAGAGTGGTTGGGGTCACAAGCTGGGTTCAGTAACTCACAGGCAGCGCGGTACAGAGGGTCAGGCAGAGAATGGTAAGGGTCACAAGCCAGGGATCAAGCAGGAGAAGTCAGCAGAGGTCAGGATCAGGCAGGGTCAGCAACAAGTCAGACAGGAACAGGAATACAGGATACAAGGTACAGGGGCCCATGGAAAAACACACACCAAGGCCCTGACTGTGAGTCTGGCCATTCCTTAAATACAACCCCTGCAATCAGCTTCAGGTGTTTGGCTGATTGCAGGGGTGAGTCTCTGATTGCTGAGAGCACCCACTGGCCAGCCCTGGTACTGCAGCCCACAAGGCAGGCGAGTCCCACCATTATTGGCAAGTCCATTCCTGACACATCCAAACTTCATGTGGCCTTCAGATTAGCACAACAATGCATAGAGAGCTTCATGGAATGGGTTTCCATGGCCGAGCAGCTGCATCCAAGCCTTACATCACCAAGTGCAATGCAAAGCATTGGATGCAGTAGTGTAAAGCACGCCGCCACTGGACTCTAGAGCAGTGTAGACGTGTTCTCTGGGGTGACAAATCACACTTCTCTGTCTGGTAATCCGATGGATGTGTTTGTGTTTGGCGGTTGATGGAGGGGGTTTATGGTGTGGGGTTGTTTTTCAAGGGTTGGTCTTGGCCCCTTAGTTCCAGTGAAGGGAACTCTTAAGGCATCAGCATACAAAGAAATTTTGGACAATTTCAGGCTCCCAACTTTGTGGGAACAGTGTGGGGATAGACCATTCCTGTTCCAACATGACTGCGCACCAGTGTACAAAGCAAGGTCCATATAGACATGAGCGACATAACAAGATGAATGAGTTTGGGGTGGAGGAACTTGACTGGCCTGCACAGGGTCCTGACCTCAACTCGATAGAACACCTTTGGGATGAATTAGAGCACAGACTGAGAGCCAGGCCTTCTCGTCTGACATCACAAATGCGCTGCTGGAAGAACGGTCAAACATTCCCATAGACACATTCCTAAACCTTGTGGACAGCCTTCCCAGAAGAATTGAAGCTGTTATAGCTGCAAAGGGGATGCCATTAAAGTTCATGGGCATGGGAGAGAGAGAGAGAGAGAGAGAGAGAGAGAGAGAGGAGAGAGAGAGAGGGAGAGAGAGAGAGTCAGTCCCAGTACTGGTCAACTTACCTGTGCCATCGCCAGGCATTTCGAATAAGAACGGTGTTGAATTAATGCCCCCTCTGGTGTCTAGCTGTAATAGGGACACTGTGTTCAGTGGCATTGAGAGAGAAGAGGATCCCACCGAGATCCTGGGATTGTGGGACACATAGTCTGAATGTGAGCGATTTGCTAGGAACCACAGATTCCACCTGGCTGGAAGAAGAGAGGTTAATGCTGGACAAGGATATATAAGTCGGACTCTGGGTTGAAGCTGCAAGAAGGGACCTTGCTGTTGTGAAGCTCTGAGCAGGTCTTGCGGTCCAGAAGGAACGGGAGTTTTTCGTGTGAGATATAGACTATCCACCTGAGCACTTGTCTGCATTTTCCTGTTGGCAGACATGACTGAGCCAAGACGTGAGCATCATCACAGTCTCATCCTCATCCACAGCAGAATCCCAATGTCACAAGGTGCTAGGTGTCCCAAGCCGGTTGCAGATTCTGTGGTAGCTTTCCAGGACACTCCGGATCCCTTGAGTCGTGCTGTCATCAGGATTGGTGAGTGGGCAGAAGCCCACATTGTGTGCACTCTTCACTAAGGGACACTGCATGAAGACACCTTTTATACCTCAAACCTGCTTACAACTCAAGACCTTTGCCTGCAATAATTTACATAAAATATCCATTATTGTTGGCTGTCATTGCACAGCAATCCTTTGGACCCTTATTGAGCTAGCTGAAGACCAAGGGCATCTCTTCCCCCAGGACTCTCCTTGATACACCTCAATCCCAGGACTCTGTATTTATTTCGGTACATAAGTTAGAACTGTGTATAGCATAGCACATACATTTAATATACAGAGTGTGCGGTTTTCAAGATCTGTGGCATCAGGATTATGAGGGAGCAGGCTGACACTATAAAGTCTTCCTCTTCCCTTTTTCTACCTGAAGTCAGAGGCCCCTTACTGCCCGCACTTGAAACCTTATTTGATTTATTGTGTTTATCTTACCAGTGTCCACAGTTTGAATTTCCAGCAATTCAGTCAGCAAACAGTGAATTTCCAGCAATGTGATTACTGCCTAAAGTGGTATTCTCCTAAATATTATTCACTGTTTGCTGACTGAATATTTCTTAGTAAATACTCAATTGCATTACTGCATTCAAGTGTCTGTGTAACTGATTCCTGTGTGCATTATGTCTGAACCCAGGGTGTCAGATGGCTTGCAAGGTCAGAGCAACCTTTGGGGGCCCATGTCTCATGAGGGTAGCATGGCCCTTTATGTGGTCTTTATAGCCCAGGTGTGGCTTCTGTATCATGTGATTGCTGTGATTGGCTCCCACAGCAACAGAAATCAGATGTATGTGAACCAAAAATCCCTGTTAGAAATGTGTTAGGCCAGACACACAGTGGATGTTTTTGGTAGAAAAAAAATGCTTGACATGTTTAACACATTTAGGCATGTTTAGTCGTGTCAAGCATTTGCGCATTAATTTTCATCGGCCAGAAAAATAGTTTATTCTGACCATTGAAACTACACTCAAGCAATAAAAGCAACTAGCATTAATGTATGTTTAGACGCATTTATACATGTCAGGCCTTTTTTTCTGCCAAAACGCTGCTGCTCCTGGACATGCTGGCAGTAGTGTTTTTTTTTTTTTGCCTATAAACACCCTTGCCTGTGCATGGGCACATTGGCTAAAATACAGGGACGTTTGAGGCAGAAAAAGAAAGCAACACCATAAGCCCCTAGAAGAAATAGAAAAAATGTCCAGTGTGCATGAGGACTAAGGGTGCATAGCAATGTGCAGAGGGCTGATACAGATTTTTTTGGACCCTGTGAGTTTATAATTTTGCTGTGTCCCATTGGAGAGATTTCTCGTCTTTTCCAGTGCCATCAACACAAAACAGGAAGTGAAAGAAAAATCTCTATAAGGTTTTTATGGGAACAGGTCTTCCTATTGGATGTTTTACCCTCACTTCTTATTCTGCTGATGACTGCAAAATTCCACGCCACTTTTTATTGTAACCAGGTTAAATAAAGGGGCTAAAGCCAGTCATACATTTATCAAAATCTGGCCAGTTCAGGGATCAACAGAATGTTTATCCATGTACAGTATTGGCAGGTTGATTGTACAGAAGTCAATTGGTATATCAACTTGTTCCCAATTGATCAGTGCTGCTGGGTATAGCCTGGTTGGATGATCTCAATATCAACAAAGCTGTTATGAACGAAAGTGTTACTAAACCCAGGACCCTGCATTCACTCTATCTGGTCTCCCACAGTACACACAACATAAAAATGTAATTATTTAGTAAATATAAACTGCTAAATACCTTTTCTCATCAGCAGTTAAAGCAGTCTTGTGACTTATATCAGGGTCCAGCAGAGCACTGGTTAAAGCTTGTAGGAGGAGTTTTATTTCTGCTCTAGGAGGATGCAGAACCCCTGAACTCTGTCTGGACAATGCTGATTGGCCATGTGCTGATCACATGCACTAGTTAAAGAAAAGAAAACCTCTCTAGCAATACACACCTAATCGAGTATGTGCAGAGTGACTCCAGATGAGATGTAGATAGAGGGGGACATTGGAAGAAGGGGAGGATCAGAGAAGTCAGGATCAAACAACATTTTTACACAATGTAGAGGATTAACCCCTTAGGTCACACGGTGAGTATAACAAGCATGCTTTACTGCATATACAGACTTATTTTACTGTTGTGGGTTTAGTAACACTTTAATTCATTCATAACAGCTGTAATTCCTTTAGTGATAATGTGATTGGCGCACTGCTATCACCTGGTACCTGAATCACAGCTTTTTGTACCATATGATTAGTAGCCAGTCACAGGTCACTAGTACAACTATCATGAATGTAACCCATTCATAACAGTGCAAAACATTGCTGTTACAGTGATCATCACTGTAACAGCAAAGCAAAGTGTAAAAAAAAAAATCCCTGATTATCCCCCAGAGTAGTACAGTGTATCTATGGTGACACTGAACTACTATGATGAAAGTATGTAAAAAAAAAAATGTAAAAATATAAAAAAAAGTTTTAAAAAGTTAAAATTTTTTTTTAAAAAATTAAAACTTATTTTAATAAAATAAGTTTTTCAACATACTGTCAGTAGTCAGTGTCCCTGATCATCACTACACCAGTCATATGATAACACTGTACTGCACTGGTGGCAGTATGTAAAATTGTATTTAATTTCTTCATTTTCCAAAAAATTGTGATAAAAAATTACAATTTCAAAAAAGACGCCATGCCTCTTACTAAATACCTTGGACTGTCTACTTTCCAAACAGGGGTCATCCGTTTGTGTGTGTGTGTGTGGGGGAGGGGGGTGTTGGTATTTGTACTGTCCTGGCATTTTAAGGGCCTCAAGAAATGAGATAAGCTGTCCGCACATCAGAATTGATACATTTTCATATATACCATAGTTTGTAGATGCTATAACTTTCACACAAACCAGTTAATATGGATTTTATTTTTACCAAAGACATGTAGCAGAATACATTTTGGCCATAATTTGATTTTTTTTTTCTGGATATGCTTTGAGACAGAAATATTGTTTTATCTTTCAAACTTTTCAGTCTTTTTTAGTGTATATAACAAAACCCCAGTGATCAAATACCACCAAAAGAAAGCTGTATTTGTGTGAAGAAAATTAAATAAATTTAATTTGTGTACAGTGTTGCATGACCGGCAACAGCCAGTTAAAGCAGAACAGTGCGAACAGTAAAAAATGGCCTGGTCATGAAGGAAATAAAACCTTATGGAGCTCAAGTAGTTAATCTACAAACAAAAACACAGCAATAAAAACTTGACAGAGGTTCACTCTTTCTAGAAAAAAAAATTGGTTATAAATAAATTTTAAGAATTACCTCTGATTGTTCCATGCTTTGCATATCATCCTTTGCCTCATTAAAAAAGCCAAACGCTCTGCGAAATTCTACATGAAAGTGATGAACTGTTAGCTATGCCACAGGCAAAAGTCAGAGAGGGTTGATGCTTTTGGAATAAAACGTAGTGCTACAAATAAGCAGTTAACATTATGCACACTTCTGTGCCATGTGAAGGAAGGTTGTAGTGACCTTGTTTTAATAAGTATGAAATCTGAATTAAGCCAACACTTTGTTCCTGTGATTCCATGAACAGAACTGTTTATTTAAGCAGTGCCCTGTACGCTTATGTACATCTTTTCCTGTTAGTGTTAGCAGCCGGGCCACCCTTTCCTTCAACCTTTGCCAAACTCTTCTTCTGAATACTGAATTGAAACTCCATGTTCCACGGAAGTATACATGTAACCTTGAAACCACCAATGACTTTAACACTTGATCGGCCTCCATTCCTGTGCCACTAATGATATATGTCTTCTGCAACGCCAATTATATCTTAAGCTTTTCAAGCCTGGGATTACTTTTTATAATGTTTACTCTTCCATCTGGTGTTTATATGGTTTAACTCTTTAAGTGTGTTTTTTTTCTGCTGAATACTCAAATTGTATGTCAAACAGAATTAAAACAAGCCAATGAGAACATGCCGAAATGTCATTCTGTGGTGAAAAGGTCTCATTCTTAAAGGTGCATTTTCAGATGGAAATTAGATCAATGTGAGTTAGGGGCCAACCTTGTAAATGTGCTATTTGTTTATCTATGAAAGGAACAGTGTTATATTTGGCTGTTAGGATAGTACTATGTGAAAGACCGGCTCACAGTTTGTAAATGAACGTGGGGAAGACAGATAAATACATTGTTCAAAAAATTCATATATGAGATCTGTTTTACCTGCTAAAACATTTTTAATCTTGTGCATCCAGTCTAGGAATCAGGCACCCCACCACACAGCATAGTCAGGTGCTGGACCTCCCTGACACCTTTCTGCACAATATATTACAGTAAGCTTGTTGGTCTCCAAAATGCTGCCCTTTGCTTGCTTTTGTCTGGTCCTTTGGGCACTTTTCCTTCCACTGACGCATTTGATGAGGCACCATTTCTTCTACTGACACCAACAGTGGGAAATAATTCCTCCAACTAATACCAATGATTGAGCACTATTCCTCTCACTGACACCAACCATTCCTCTTTGAACTGGCCACAGGCGATATGCAATTTATTTACTCCAACTGACCACCAAGCCAGTGATATGGTTTACTCCTACTGCTGCTGGGGGAATGTTCAACTTCCTCTGGTCACAATCTGGAACCCCTAAAATCTGAAGGACAGTAAACTGGCCCTTTGTTTAGAAAGTTTGGAGACCCCTGGTCTAGAACCTACCCCAATCTACAATGGGCAATGATGAGATCATGACTTTGTTCTGTCTTCTGCTCAGGATGCTGTCACTTTTAGATGGACAACACTGCAATGCAGTGGAATCTAACTGGATTACGCTGCTGCCCTTCCTCAAATCCAATATAGTGATACTGCTCTGAGATTCCATTTTGGCTGCAGTTGAGGACTTCTCATCCTTCCTGTTCATCTCTATTAATAAAGCCAAATTTCGACTTGGGTCAAAAATAAAACTCTGGTCCTCAGCCAGTCCTCTTCTGGGTTGAGTGGTGAAGAGTGTCAAGGGCCTGCTAATCTACCCTGAAATCACAAGAGAGTGCTGTAGAGCATGGCCCCATCTCATTATATGGATCCAGAGAAAGATGAACTGTGATGTCACTGAACATCTGGAAAAAAAGTTTTTTTTTGCAAAGGATTGTTTGTAAAGGATGCTGATGGTGCTCCAGTGAGGAAGGGATTTAAGGAATTTGGCAGTGTGTCAATGCCCAATATAGTTTTACTGAACATCTGACCCATTTGTTAGTGCTGTACAAAAAAAAATTGCAGAGGCTGATGCTATGACAGATACAGGTACTTTTGCCAGCTGTATATAAAACTACATCTAATGATTTGTTGATGAATACATAACTGCATAAAGTGGGGATTTTTTTATTTACCTGAAGTTCAGCTTTTAATACAATCATCAATAATCAAATCATCGAACAATTATCTAGGTTTATGAATGTTTATCTTTAAAGCTGACCTCTAGGCAGATATAAAGGCACACAAGACTGGAGCTCTGTTTGACATACAATTTGAGTATTCATTTATTATTGCATCATTACATTTATTTTTTAAATACAAGGTTTGCAATCACCTCAATTTGATATTAGCAGCCCCTGTACAACAGGGCTGGAGCATGAAAAAAAGAAGCAGCACAAGAAGCCAACCAATTTATGTGCTGATGAGAAGCATTCTGATTGGAAGAACAAGAAGAGTAACAGAGAGATGAGCTTGTGTCTGTGCTGCTTCTCCTTTCACTTTCCAGTCTCAGGCTGGGATGGATCCAGGAAGACCTAGGCTCAGAGGAGATGTGTTGAAAAATGCTGCATCTGACTGAAAACATTTAATGGGAGAAAAAAAATACTGAAAAGGAAATCTCTCAATAAATAACGTTACTTCATGTTTTAATGGGCTTCTCCTTAGCTTGAAATTTTCATCTGGAGTTCTGCTATAGAAAATGCACATTTTTCAAAGGAGAACTCCAGATTATAGAAGATTTGCAAACATTATAAAAAGTTCTAGAGCTGATGTTGTGGCATAAATTGTTTGTTGCAATAGAAGCTGCACACCACAGATCCATTTATGGTTGTTATCTGCAGCCTTAGAATCAAAATTAGTTGGTTGAGCACCTAATATTGTGGAGGTCATCTCTCATTTGAAGGTGTTCTAAAGTTTGAAAGATTACTCCAGGCCAGGATACTGGATTGATTAGTGGTTGGTTAGAAATGAAATGTAGATGTTCAAATCCAAGTATCTCTGTCTCCTAATAGGTGTGCAGGAAGGGAAGATCCTATGATCCCTCACAGCGACCTATCCACATGCATGAAACAACAGTGTATAAACCCCAAATCCTGTAAGAATTAGCACCTTATCCTGCAAGATATTAGAGGCTGAAGGTGTCAGATCTTTAGGTAATGTAAAAAAAACAACCCACTTCACAGAGGCTCTCATAATGTAAACTACAAAGGGAACGTATCACGGAATTTGAAACTGGAAATGAAATCTTAGCTCTTCTAAGTATCAGGATTACATATCACTATAAAATAATCACTTTAAGACTTTATACTGAAGCTCCAAATAGCTTAGTAAGGTGTATGATGACACAGCTTTGTGACATAACTCTGGTAAAAACTGCTAATTACACCATAAAAGCCACATTTGCACTAGGATGCTACCACTAGTAAAATGTTACTTGTCTTTAGCACCTTGACGTAGGCAGCCTATTAGTTACTAAAGGATTTGACAATGTTCACAATAAAATGTGTTAAGATACGCTTCAATTTTCAATTGTTTAAAAGGAAAATAAATTTTTACTTATTTCATCCACACATTATTGAATAATTAAAGTGAATATTCACACAATTAATTTCTTTGTTTCTGGATTTGGTCCTCATGTCTACTGCCATGGCTTATATAGTTGTATTTTCATTGTGACATTTTGGATGCCAACTTAGTGGTAAAAAATGCATGAAGGTAAAAAACCTGGAGCCTTTAAAATCACTTTGATGCGACTTTAATGCAACTTGAGTATAAAGTCACATCAAAGTTGCGCTACAGGACCGTCATACTT